CTAAGTCACTGTTACATAAAATGCATTTATGTTATAATAGCTAAGGAATGCATGTTATTTAAAGAGGCCTATAGCAATCAACAAGACCAAACGTATGCAGTTTTAGCAGGTCTCAAATCCATTCTGCATGTTCTTCAAGTGCAACGGCTTTTATTGGTTCAATTTTTTTTGTCCATCAAGAGCCCCTGGCTTAGCAAGAGAGTCAAACTGTCACATTATTATTAAACTAAGCCCAAAAAAAAGAACCTAAATCAGAAGAAGTACTCCTTTTGATTTTCATTGACTGTATTTTGCACACTGTGCTCACTTTTCAGGGCAGTCTCAGCACAGTCTTCATTTTCTGATCCTTTCACCTCCTTTTTTTTATAGACACTTTTCTTTCTATAAATCCGTACAGCTATGGCAGCAATGCAAAGCAGAATGAATATCACAACGGCTATGACACCTGGGAAAGAGAGAAGATTAGAAAGTGAGCAGTTGTCTCACACCAACAATAACGGTATACAACATGCTTCAGAGTTCTTTTATTCACACAACCCTGTGAGCTAGATGAAAGAGTAAACTTGTTCAAAGCCATACAGTGACATTCAGGGCTGAGGAGGAGTTTGAATCAGGGCTTCTTGCTTACCCATTCAACTGTGTCACTACTTGCCCCATGATGACTGGATAATTCCCAGAGTAGAATGTTTTGCTCAAAATTCAGGTCACACTGAGAGAAAACAGTGATTCTCTTTCATGCCATATATATCCCCAGGAATGGCAGTGGAGGAGGGGGAGGAAGTCCAGTATCAAGTAATAACTGGAAGTTTGAAAATTAGGACAGAAGAGGTGGGTGTAGAGTGGTTCGCCTGTTACAAAAGGACTGGGTTCCACTTGAAGTGTAGTGTAAACTGACAGAGTGCTGCTGCTTAGTAGTGAAAGGACTGAAACACACATTTTAATCTGACATATAGGAGAAAGCTGAGAGCAGCTAGGAAGCATTTTGTTTGGGATGACTTGTCTCTCACAGATAATGTTGCAAAATGTTTCAGATTCTAAAAGTGGGTATAGGGTAGATTTTTACAATGGACATACAGAAACTGAACAAAAGTAAAAGGGATATGTAGTAGGGATTTCATGTGTCTCCATGCTAACAGCAGAAGCACTAAAGGCAAAGTGATGGAACAATAAAGTCAAATGAGAAATCTTTATATGAAAGCAGTAGAAAGAGAAGGAAAGGATGGGTTATGGCTAGAGGTTTCAATATATATCAGAGAAGGCAAAGAGACTCAAGATTAGAATATCTGAGAGTAGTGATTTGTCCTCTGTTAAAACAGTAATTTGCATGCAAATTGCTACTGATGTCATGGAACACTTGATAAAAGTTCAGTGTTTAGCAGATGTTATACTTGTATACATAAACGTATGTATGTATGTATTTTGTGTCATAGTACCCATGCACCACAGCTGACTGCTTTCCTATGCTAATATTATGTAACATTTACCACCAAGCAGCATAGGTCCTGTCATGGGTGAGGAGGAGGAAGGGATTACAGAAACTGCATTGGTGGCAGCAGGTAATTTTGAAGTGGTGGGTAATCACTAACTAAGAATAATACCTGCCACCCAGGGTCAACTACTGCAGGTTCCTCCCAGTCTTCCTCTCAGAAGCAAAAGCAGCAACCTGATTTTATCAAGTGAACTCCTCACACTGTAGAAGTTACAGGTACTACATAAGACAGGAATGAAAACAATTCAATTCAAAGCAGAGGTGTTAAACACTTGATTGTTTTGTAATTGAAATTTTCAATTAACTGATAGATATTGTTGAGGAAGGATTTAAAACAAAAATGATCAGATAAGGGCTTTGTTTTCAACTGCTTCGTTTGTTTTTGTAAAGGCTGCACATTTATATGATGCATGTGCTGCCCCTATATATCTGAGTTTGCCTTGTTGATATTAATCACTCTGGTCTTTGGGGAGAACCAGGGTACATGTTGTTTTATAAATTACATCTCCTTTTACATAATTACACAATTCTAAGCCCACTGACTTCAGTGGACTTAAACTGCTGTAACTTCACATAGGATGCTACTGTTGGTATGGGAAAGCATACAAACTGCCCTTTCTACAAATATCAGCTTAATTAGAGCATTTCATTAATTCAATTAAATTCTACTGGCTTCATTAGACTATCACCACAAACCAAAACCTCTACTGGGGCTAAAGGTAACTGGTAGGGTTGCCATCTGGCCTCAAGAAAAACAGCCTGTGCGTAGAATGGAGGCTTAGTGTATGGAAATGGGCAGCTGAAGCTTTTCATGGTGTGAAGGTAAATGGAACCACCACTGGGTAAATAACACCCATGAAGCCTCTTGTTAAAGGGACAGGACAGTTCTCCAGCCCAGATGGCAACCCCAGCAATCGGAAAGTCCTGTTCAGGATAAGTTGTACAGGCAACGTGCAACGGTAGAACAAGTCACACATTCAAGGTTAATTCCAGCACCATCTCCATACTAGTGTAGGATTTTCTCATATACCTTTTTACCCAAATGACAACATCTGTAACTATTTCAGTGTCCCAAGCTGATCCAAATCATTTTGGGAGGGTGAAATGGAGGGGAGGGAAAACAGATTTACACTGCCTTACGCTCCTTGATAGACAGAATTAAAAATGTACTAAATACTGAGCTTAAGAGGCATTTGAATTAATTCAGGCTGTTTTCAAAATGGTGTGTAACACTGTGCAAACTAGTTTTCTTGGGCTTTAGTTCTGCAGAATGTTTCCTTTTAAGAGCCCCAGGCAAAACCCTTTTGGCTCTTCATAGAAATAGAATCTGTAAACACATAAGACTAGTGACTCAAAACTAAGTTCCTTCAATAAAGAGTTTATTTCAGCAAGTATGGAATGGGATCAGATTTCCCCCTCCATTCTCATATAGGAAATGCAGTTTCAGGATGCTGAAGTAGGCCAGGGACCATTATAAAAATGCTTGAGATGGTACCAAACTTTTGGTTGAGCAAGTTCTGTATATAGAATCAGTGTCACCAGACCGATGTAGCTGACAAGACAATTTGACTTATTACATGCTTATCTCCACCCTTCCTTCTAGGAACTTAAGAGCAGCAGATACTATTCTCACAGCAACCCGGCAAGGTAGGTTAAGTAGAGAGCAAATGACTGGCCCAAAGTCACCCAATGAACTTCATGACCCCGTGGAGAGCTGAACCCTGATCTAGTCCCTACACCAATCTTGATGTGAAGCTGAAGATTCAACTGATGTTTTAAAATTCTAACAGAAATAAAGTCAGTTTTCTAAAGGAAGGAGAATGAATTTTTGGAGGGGGGTGTTAAGATTCCATTCTTCTTCATTGCAGTCATCTATCAAGCGGGGACACAGACAGCACAATTAGTTTGCGTGAAATGTTATGCATAACTTATTTTTCTCCAAGACATATTCACGGAGAGCACAGACAAGCCCAGAAAAAGAGGCAAACATCATTAACAGAGGATGCATGCAACACTGGAGAACACTTTGTGCTGACAAGCGGCAGAAATTTACCTCGTTCAGATTTCTGTTTAGCTGGCAGGGCCCAAGTAAATCGACACAAATTCAAGCTTTAGGCTGCGATCACACACACTAAATAACTCACTTCCAATGCACTTTTCAACTGGATTCTACTGTCTGACCTGGCAAAATCGTTGGAAAGTGGATTATTTAGTGTGTGTGATTGCAACCTTAGAGAGCTTGTTAGAGAGATGCAGCTGTACTGAGCAAAAGGGGAAGCATTAGGACCCAGAAGGAAACAGGGTGACTGGCACTGACCTCACCCTGCAGGACAAAGGCTTTTTTAATTCTGCTCCACTGGTTAGTGATGGAATCAGAAATCAGCCTTCAGTTTTCCCTTCTCCTCTGTTCTAAGGGATGGGAGGCTACTTCTCCATAGTGCAAGGGTACCCTGGGAATCTTTTTGGCCTTCTGGACTCAAATCTTGCTCTGTTACAGCAGATCTCTATCAGCAACATAGTGTCACCTTGGTTTGGGAGCAAACTCCCATCTGGAAACATGAATGCTCATCCAGAAAACTGTCCCAGTGTGTCAGTCTCAATTTTTGTCTAAAATGTCATTCACTACATTGCAAAGAAAAAAACCACAGACAAGATGTCATGAATGTAGTCATAGAATCTTTTAATATTTTACATTAAAAAAACTGCATACACAGTTTATATCGTTTTATGTAAACTTCATGTGTCTTTTTTTTTAACCAGGTCACTTTAGAGTTAAGTCTTTAGTACCATTGTTTAAATGGTAATAAAGGGGGAGAAAGTGAAGTCTGTTGTGTAAAACAAAGAAGCACAACTTATTCTTCTGAACAGACCTCAAAGCTGACCCGTGAAAACGTGTGCGATGGTTTTTAAAAAATGATCCCAAATAAACGGCACTGAGCACGCAAAAAATAACATGTAATTGTCACAAATAAAGACAGTGTTTCTCAAGGCAAAAAGAAAATACAGTGGTTTTGCTTAAGTCAATCAAGAGAACAGAAAACAAAGGACCCGATCCAGCCTGAGTCACGCATTGAAGTCCCACTGATTAACTGGCGAAATTAATCCGCTCTTCGGAATCAATAGGATTTCCAAGCGCTTCATTGGAAGAGCGCTTAGCTGGACCCTGCCCTAAATGAGGTTAAGATTTAAGAAAAAGGTATCTTCTTTTTTTTGTAATGCTACAGTGTTGGATTGTAGATTACAAGTGCATAAAGTGTCAACTTTCTTTCTTTCTTTAAATTAAACACCCGGTTGTGCAAAATAAATCCCCTCTTTTCTTTTTTGCAAAGTTAGATCACTTAAATAAACCCAACTGAAGCATATGCAGCTTCCAAAAAAATTAAAATAAAATCCGGAGAGAGCAGGCACAAAACCCCCAAGTAGTTTGAACACATTTCCCTCCCCTACCCCTCGTTGCTATCTCTTTTCACCTTCGGGCCTCTCCGAAGAGCCGCCAAAAGGACAAAAACCCTCCCCCCCACAAATCAGTCCCGAGAGAGGCGGAGGCCCAGGCCGCGGTCAAATCAGCCCCACCTTTTTTCTTCCGTTTCAGTGGCCCCGCTTAAACGAGAGAATACGGTCTATGTACAAACTTAACAGCAGAGATCCCCTCCCCTCCCGTCTTTGGATTCAAACCCTCGAGGGAGATACCAAGTAACAGCGGGAGGGGAAAGCCTAGACCGTCCCCTCCAATGTCTCTTCCTCTGCCGTAGTCCTCTTTCCAAGGGAAGGGGAGACACAGAAGCCCTGCGAACAAACAACTCCCCCTCCTCCCCGCCGAGAAAGGGCAGGCGGCGGCCCTGCACGAGTCCATTCAAGTCGGTAGCCCTTCCGCTGTGTCAGTGGAGGGGGCGATGCTTTGCAAATGTCCCCCATTCACCTCTCCAATGCTCGAGGGGGTGGGCAGGCAGTTCTCCCTCCCTGGAAGAGCGCAGTCTGAGACTCCCCCTCCCGTCCCCCCAGTTGCGCTTGGCTGCAACTCGAACTCTCCGCCGCCACCCTCCCCGGGGGTTCCGCCGGTCCGCCAGCCGCCCTCCCCCGTTATAGCACTTTGCAGCAGTTGATGCAGCCGTTCTGGGTGCCGTAGCGCTTCTGCAAGGCCGCCCGCGTGGCCGTCTCGAAGACCTCCCGCACGCCGTCCTTGGTCTTGGCCGAGCACTCGAGGTAGTCGTAGGCTTGGATGCGGATGGCCATGGCGCGGCCGTCCTCGGTGCGCACGGGCTCCTGCTTCATGCGCGCCAGCTCGTTGCGCACGTGCTCGTCGTTGCGCAGGTCCTTCTTGTTGGCCACCAGGATGATGGGCACGTTGGGGCAGAAGTGCTTGACTTCGGGCACCCACTTCTCCGGGATGTTCTCCAGGGAGTCCGGGCTGTCCACCGAGAAGCACATGAGGATGACGTCGGTGTCCGGGTAGGAGAGCGGGCGCAGGCGGTCGTAGTCCTCCTGGCCGGCCGTGTCCCACAGGGCCAGCTCCACCTGCTTGCTGTCCACCTCGATGTCGGCCACGTAGTTCTCGAAGACGGTGGGCACGTACACCTCCGGGAACTCGTCCTTGCTGAAGACGATCAGCAGGCACGTCTTCCCGCACGCCCCGTCGCCCACCACCACCAGTTTCTTGCGGATCGCCGCCATGGCCAGCGTCGCCGAGCCCGCCTTGGGAGGCTGCTCCAGGAGGGAGCTCGAGACGTCGCCTTCGCCCCGGACTGCCGCCGCCTCTGCCTTGCGATAGGGCACCGTGGCGAGGGGGAAGCCCGCGGAGTCTCTTCTCTAGGCGCCGTGCGGGGCCCTGGGAGCGTCAAGGGAGCCGCCCCCTCCTTGCAGGCGCGCCACGTCCCGGGCACCGGCGAGGGGAAGGCGCTTGGCCGCACCGGTTCCGAAGGGAAGGGTGCCGTTCTCTTTCCGGAGGGAAGCCGGGTCCCACTGCAGAGCGGCCGCACCTCTGCCTCCCGATCGCTTCTTCGTTTCTCCCGGCTGCAACCAGTCTCTTCTGCCGTCCCCCAGAAAAGCAAGCGACGCGTTTTGATTTTGTCCCTCCCTTCGTCTCTTTTGCGGCTACGCCTTTAAGAGCACACCAGAGCTCTTTCGCTGCTATTCCATACTGCCGCGGCAACCGGACGCGGCTATTTAAAGGGACCGGCGACTTTCTTAATATAGCTAGCCAATGGGAAGGGAGCGGGTGAGGTCATCTTTTTGGGGAAGGCGAGCGATTGGTGGGCCGTGCTGCAGGCGCTGGGGCGGGGCGAAGGCGCGGGCGATTGACAGGCCGCGAGGAGAGGTGGGTGGGCCGGGCCTTCGCCCCCCTTTCTGCTGTTGCAGCAGCTCGGCGGGATTAGAGGGAGGGCCTTTCGGCTGGGACGGAAGGGAGCGGAGACGGTTCCGTCTCAGTCCCCCAAATAAGCAGGTCAGGCGGTGGTTGGAGGCCCGCCGTAGAACTTTTCCCCGATCGGTTCCAGTTGCTGGAGCCAGTCATTCCGAGCGCGCAAAATGTAATTTAGCGATCCTGAACAGGTCTGTGTTATCCAGTGGGCCGTTACTCCCAGGGAGGTGCCCGTCGGAGTGCGCTGCGGATCCGGTCCTTGTATGGAAGCCGCATGACGTCGGTCACTTGTTGCTAAGGCGTCTACCCAATGCGGGAAGCTGGCCGCAGTCAGTTTGCAGGAGCCTCTGTTTGCCCAGTGGGACGGAACGAATTGGAGCAAGTGCGGCGAAAGCGCAACGTTTCTCGGGCTGAGGTTTTGTTTTTTTTTACATGCGGCGGTGTTGTTTTGGTTGACCTTTTCGTTTTGTGCTATAAATGTCAGATCTGATGAAAAGTAGGGAGAAACATGTCGGGTGGGGACTGGGAGTCTACTTCCAATTCTTGTTTCTATGCCCTGACCAAAAATAAAAGCCCCGTGTGGTAACGCGAACAGAAGGTTTCCTAAATCAGAACTTGCTTCATCTGTGCATCTGATGGATTGAGCGATGGCTCACGAAAACGGTCCCTGAAATAAATGTTGTTAGTTTCTATGGGGCCACTGGACTCTGGTTTTATTCTGCTGCTATGAATATGCCCTTACCCTGGATACCCCAGGCTAGCCCGAACTGGCCAGATATTAGTGTTGGGTGATAGTGAGATATTGAAAAAATTGTATTTATCAGAGATAAGATAGTCCAGCAGAGCCTGAGTAAAATAATTCAGACTGAGAGTCCATGTGTGATTAAAATATAAAGTTTTTACTAAATTCTAGCATGGGAAGGGTAACTGGGATGAAAATAACAAAAGAGCATAATCGGCTACATCCTTACACTACAAAGACAAAAACTAGAAGAGAGAATGGCTGCTCTCCTTCTTCAGAACACAAAACCAAAGGTGGGAAGAGAAGCCATAAAATGGTAATACACCTTGACACTTCAGTCCCAATCAAATTCCTAGATCAGGGAGAAAATTCCCGGGCTTCCTACATCTAAAGAACATTGGTTACATGAGAAACATGTGACTTCCTGTGAGTAACATAAACAAACATTTAACCCCAGATATACTGAGTGTTTTCAACTTGTAATACCCAACAATAAGGAGTTAAGTAGGGTCAGCCCCGGCTACTATTTGGAGGGAGACCTCCAAGGAATACCAGGGTTATGATGCGGAGGCAGGCAATGGCAAACTACATCTCTTGCCTTGAAAACCCCAAAAGGGGTCTCTGTAAATCAGCTGTGACTTGACAGGGCAGATGCACGCACATGGATTAACACAGCTACCCAGTATGCAGCAGAATAAATCACAGAACGATAGAAGCAAAGCCCTGGCTTGCACTGCAGGTCCCCTTCTGTCATCATTTAGGGTACTGCCACTCCCCTTTGCAGTAGCAAAGTCTCTTTAAAAAAAAAAAAAGGCTACCCTTGTGATGGCCCAGTAATCATTAGCAGATTGATGGACCAGAACGTGGCTCTTTGGCGATTATTTTAAGCGTTAGTTCAGCACATTATAGTACCAGATTTTTCTTTCCTGCAAAAAAACCCTATGTTTAATGAACAGAACATTTCCTTCCCTACTGTTAACTTGTGTTGATAACTTAGTTGCTAAAAGGATCCATACAAACTAATTGGAGGAAGTACGCCATTTCATTTGGGTAAGTCGTTTTTGCCTGCCTTTCCATGCTCAGGGCACCTTATGGAAGTCACACAAAATGATAAAAATAAAAGTCATTTTTAAAAAGAAGTGTAAAACCAGCAGGTGCCGATAAAAATTATTCATCCCATAAAATCTACTCAGCAACTGCCTACAGACATTACCCAAAAAAAACCCTTTGAAACAGAGAGTTCGTCCTTTTAGATTGGGATGTCAGTATACAGCCTGGAATTTTGTTGGGGAGATGATTCCATACAGCACCTCGGATATCACAGCAAACGGCCTGTTCCGGAGCAGATGTCCTAACATCATTTGGTACTGCCAACCATTGTGTATTGCTGTTTATTTTCTCTGTCATGTATTATTGTTTTGTTTACTATTACCGCTGTCAGGATGCTGCAAAGCCATAACAAACCATAGACCTGCAGCTCATGTCAATAAACGTCTGGGAAACACTGATCTGAAACATCTTTTGTCCCATTAGATAGGCTGCTGGGGAAGCTGCTGCTGTGTTTCCCATTTCAGAGTATTGTTGTCTGTTGTTACTGCCTTCTATGATCTTTCATACCCGTAGTTTAAATGCAAGGACTCTCTACAAAAAAAATTGTGGTTTCAGGATGACACCTAAAGATGTTAGTTTGCTTGCCAACACCATTGTTAAGCAGGCCAGAAACAAAAAATATGTTGGGAAGCTGCCAGCATGATGGTCACAGGCCCCAGCAAACTAATGCAAACAGAAGATTTGGTGAATCTGGTTCCAGGGGGGTGCTTAGGTAACTTTAATGGTCTGGGGTGGGCGGCTTTCGATGGTAATGTATATTTCAGTTGCAAAGCTACAGTCTGCATTGGGGAGGTGAGTCTTGCCAACCCCATGGGCCAGGGCCCCAGACAGAGTCTGGCCCAGAGTGTACCACTATCTGATGCACCAGCCCCCACCCCACCCCCACATGTCTGCCAGCCCCATTTTTCCTACCACAAATGCACTCCAACTTTGCCTAGGGCAGATTCAATGTGTAAGATTTTCTTTCTGCTTTTCTCATTATCTTTCCCTCAGCCCTCTCTACTCATCTATCCACAACAGTCCTTCTTCTTCCATCTGATGCTGCCTACTCAATCCATTCTACTCGACTTCATTGTTAAGAATGTGATTTGAGAATTGCAGAGATGAACTTGTGTATGGTGAAATACAAACAATTGAGTTCAATAGTGGGAATCCTTCATTATCAAGAGCATTGAGGATTTTACTGTGAAATAAACAGGAGACTTGCAGCAACTTAAAGACTAATAGTTTTTTTTAATTATTATAAACATCAAAACATAGTGGTAACATCATCCAACAATATATAATAAGAAGAAGAGAAGAGATTGAATTTATACCCTGCCCTTCACTACCCAAAGGTGTCTCAGAGCGGCTTACAAACTGTTCCCTCTAAGCTGTGGAGTCTTGTGAGCAACAATTCTACTTTGTGAGCTACTGGCATTAAAGTTGTGAGCGAGCGATTTGGCTGCTGCATAAATTAGTCTGCTCTGGAGCCATCCTTGAGCTAAGACAAAAATGTGTGAGCCAGGGGCTAAAAAACCGTGAGCTAGCTCGCGCTAACTCAGCTTAGAGGGAACACTGCCTGTGAGGTAGGTGGGGCTGAGAGAGCTCTGACAGAAATGGCTCTTTTTCAAGAACAGCTCTTATCAGAACTACGGCTTGCCCAAGGTCATCCAGCCAGGTGCAAGTGGAGGAGTGGGGAATCAAACCCGGTTCTCCCAGACAAGAGTCCGCGCACTTAACCACTACACCAAACAAAAACAGAGAAACGGGAAAACTGGGCAATACAACAAAAAAATGTAAAACTTTCAAAATATATCATACGCTTAGTAAATGAATAACAATTGCAACAGATCAGTAGGATAGATATGACTCGGAACTTCCTCTTTTGACAGCATATAATTTTACATTGGAAGTCAAATTGCAGCAAAAGCTTAACTAAATTCCATTTTGTCTTTTTGTTGAATACGATAAGATACCTTTCCCATTGCATAGAATCTCCATATTTTATCAAGCCATAGTGAAATCGATGGGGGGCAATCTGTCTTAAAGACTAATAGTTGAAGGCAGCAAGAAAAAAGGAAGACCCAGCATGAGATAGATTGACTCAGTCAAGGAAGTCACAGGCCCTCCTCCTCCATTTGCAAGGCTGTTATTGACAGGGCATTTTTGGAGGATGTTAATTCATAGGATGGCCATAAGCTGGAAGTGACTTGAGGAGGACACTTAACACACATACAAAGTCTAGCAACATATTTAAGATGAATAGCCATTTTGGTTTGTCTGTAGCAGTAGAGAAGGGCAATAGTCCAGTAGCACCTTAAAGATTAACAAAAATTTATGGCAGGGTATGAGTTATGGTGAGTCACCGCTGACTTCTTAAGATTTTTAAAGTTTCAGCATCAGCCTTGGTGAAATCGAGGCCTCTTCTTCACCACGTCTGCGGCTATTTTGTACTGGGCCAATGGCATGCAGGAAGTACAGGATGAATTGTAATGATGTAAAATTAAAAGCTAATCAAGAAAAAACACAGAGTATTCATGTACTAAGCTAGTTTTGGAAATAATGGTAAATCCCAAATTGGGGGGGGGGGGAATAGTGTGAAATCTTCTAGTTACCAACTGGTTACTCATCTATTTCCAGGAACAATTTGAACTGCTGGTTCTTACATTTAAGGCCCTAAATAACTTGGGGCCAGCATACCTGAAGGACTGTTTCCTCCAATACTATTGAAGACCACCAATTAAGATCTGCTTCTCAAGTTCTGCTTTCTGTGCCCTCCCCACTGCCTTTAGAGGTGAGATGGGTGGTGATTAGAGACGGGGCATTTTCTGCATTTGCATCTGGCCTTTGCAATATTCTACCCTCTGAGCCTTGCCTGACACCTACTTTACTTTCTTTTAGGTGCCAGGCTAGCACACCTCTTTTTTTTTT